AGGCGGAGCTTGCAGTGAGCTGAGATCCAGCCACTGCACTCCAGCCTGGGCGACAGAGCAAGACTCCATCTCAAAAAATAAATAAATAAATAAATAAATTAATAAAAAGACGAGAATCAGGCCAGGTGCAGTGGTCCACACCTATAATCCCAGAACTTTGGGAGGCCAAGGCAGGCAGATCACCTGAGGTCAGGAGTTCAAGACCAGCCTGGCCAACATGGTGAAACCCTGTCTGTACTAAAAACACAAAAATTAGCTGGGCATCGTGGTGCATACCTGTAATCCCAGCTACTCGGGAGGCTGAGGCAGGAGAATCACCTGAACCTCGGAGGTGGAGGTTGCAGTGAGCCAAGATTGTACCACTGCAATCTAGTCTGGGCAACAGAGTGAGACTCCATTTCGAAAATAAAAAAATAAAAAGAGGAGAATCAGAAAACCTCCTTGGATTGTCTGGGAGGAAATAAAACATTAATTTTAAACTTTGAGTCATGCATGATTGTTAAAAAAATTAAAGATAACCAGTAAAAAATTAGAATGAGATTCTATAACTTCCAAACCAGTGAGAAGGGGAAAAGAAACTTTAATTAATCTAATAAATTATAGGAAAAGGAGAAGAAAATAAAAAAGCAAAGAAAGTAGGGGTACAAAGTACATGCCACAAATCCAATTCCATCAGCAATTGCAATGAATACAGACTATACTGGCCAGCTAGAACAAAATCTAGCTACATACTGTGTAAAAGATACATACCTGGAACATAAGACATAAAACACATCTGAAACAGAGAGGTAGCTGAGGCCAGAACACAAAGGCTCCGAAGCAGGCCGTAATACACTCTGGGCTCTTATTCTAAGTGAGAGAGAGCCATGACCTAAGTGTTCTAGTGGAGAAGCCACATGATTTGACCTGTCTTTAAAAGGATCTTTTTGGCCAGGCACAGTGGCTCACACCTGTAATCCCAGCACTTTGGGAGGCCAAGGCAAGTGGATGACTTGAGGTCAGAAGTTCAAGACCAGCCTGGCCAACATGGTGAAACCCCATCTTTACTAAAAATACAAAACAACCACCACCACCACCACCACCA